AGAAAGAAAGAACCCCCCCCCGGGGGGGCCCAGCCACACCGCAACCTCTTCTGCTCCATTCTCCTCTCGGGATCTTGGGCATGCACGCACACGCGCCCGGCGTGAGTTTTAAGCCACCGGGTCCAGGACGCGAACCACGGTCGACTACATGGGAGTCCAGCAACATAGCCATTACGCTAACTGCTGGTCCCTCCAATTAAATATTTAATCGACTATAATAAAAACTTAAACATAGCTCACAAGGCAGAGTTCAAAAGGTAAAATAATAAACCAACTTTAGAATTAAAGATACTAATAATGAAAGATTTTATTAATTAATATAGTGACTAAAATTTTTTAAAAGGAAAGCAAATTCAAAAAGAAAAGATAACACTCAAAAAATATATTTTAAAAACTTATCAGGAAGGGTTACAGGAACCCTGACATCCATTCCTAGGCCATGGGCTTCTCAGAAATAAAATAACAAATAGCCCAAATTTTCGTACGTGAGCTCTCTCATGTGCGTTATCCAGAAAAGGAGCTGCACCCTGAATCCCAGCGTAGGGGCAGTTTCCCAGATCATTTCATGATGATCACATCCAGAGGAGCACCTCCAACCTCCAGAGGAACCCTCTGTGTCCTCGGCTGCGGTGCAGACAGAAGGACGTTCCCTCCCCACACTCTGCTCCATGGTTAGGAAGAACCCCAGTGGGAGGAAGCGCCCAGGCCCCTCGGAGGGCAACCCGGCAGAACACAGACAAATCAAGACGATGTGGGCCCAAGAGAAGACCCTGGTTTGTGGGTGAATCTTCATTGGCACCTTTCCGGCATTAGGAAAATGAGGCACTATGTCTCCTGTGACAGTTCTCACCAGGCCAGCTCTCCTGGTTCTGGGGACCCTGCTCCTAGTCCCAGAGCAGATACCCACACACAGCGGCAGGTCACACCTGGGGAGCTCAGCCCTTCACCTACCCATGACTTAGCTGGGAAAGAACAGCCCACACAGGAAGAAAAGCAACACTCCACGGACTGCGGGCTGTGCTCTCGCTGGACACCACGCCGGCCGGCGCTCGGGGCGCTACCCCTGAAGCAAGCTTCGTGAGATCAGCATCCGCATCACCTCGTTGCTGCCTGTGGGGCAAACGTGAGGGCTTAGCAGGGGCAGAGTGAGAGCCGGAGTGAGCTCAGCTGAGGCTGCTCTAGGTCCAGCTCTGGGCGTGTGGGTTTAAACTAGGATTAGTGCTTTTACTCCTAGGAGGCAATAAAAGGTTTGTCGGACTCCTCTCCAAAGGACAGAAACATGTCAGGAAATTAGCATTTAACATTAAAAAATAATCTCTTCTGATGTTAAAAATGCTTATATTACATAAGCCTCCCACCACCACCACCCCAAAAAAAACCCTCAGAAATAAAGTACTATTGGGCTGGGCCTGTCTGCTAATGGTGAAAGGAGCCAGATTCCACCTGGCTGGCCGCAAGGGTTGAATCCTAGCCCCAGTGGCTTGAAGGCCGCAGCAAGGTGCAGCAGGCTCACCTTGAAGGTGACGCGCACCTGTGCTTCATGACCACTTGTGGGCGCACTCGGGGAGGAGGTCTGCAGCGGGACACGATGGGCTCACCTTGAAGGGCCTAACCCCAGAGCAGCAGCACAGCCTCACCTGTTAGCAGTGCACACCCTCGGGCCCTCAGTGCTGCCTGTCTGGGTGCAGGCTCAGCGGTGTACCTTCCAAGCCCTCTAGCCGACTCCAGCTATGCTCAGCTTAGGAGGATGCTCTGACAGGCAGGATGGCCCATGCTCACAGGCTTTTCCTGGGTCCCCATTAAAGCAGCCCCGGAGGTCTTCACCGAAGTCCTTTGAGAAGCCTCTGGCTGCCTGCTCTCCCTATAGCAAAACCCAGCGGCATACACCAGATGGAGCAAGAGCCAGGTGTTCCACAGCCTTTTACCTTCTAGGATCTGGTGGACCCTGGAGTCCCGCACGTACTGCTGGACAGCGTAGTCCTTCAAGTAGCCGTAGCCTCCGTGCATCTGTAAGGCCTGGTTGCAGATCTGTGGGGACACGGGATCAGGTGCTTTGATTCTTGGAGGACTGTGGAGCAAGTGGCTTCCTTCCCAGTCTCTGCCCCAACCTGGCAGCCTGCTGTGAACCAGGGAGAGGAAGAGCCACCCACCGGTAACCAACTAGTCTAAAGAGGGGCTCCCTCCTGCACGTGGTAGACACAAGGGAAGCTCACCTCCACAATTTGTCAGTTGCCACATAGGGCAACTTAAAGACCTCTTCCTTTCCGGCTCCTTCCTGGCCAGGGAGAAGCTGCCCACCATCACCCTGGCTGGCATCGCACGAAGCTAAGGTGCCCCCTAGTGGCAATGCACCTTCAATGACGAAAGGGGCTTGCTCTGACCACGCAAACGTGCCACAGTGCTAAACGTGGGCAAGGAACACTGGGCTGCTCTGAACCTTCCCAAGGGCTGTCTCATTCAGAACACAACAAATGATGGCGACATCGTCAACTGTGTAACGGCACGGAGCATGCCAAGCCACTGACCCTGACAGCTCCCACCTGACCTCTCACATGTTAATTTACAATGATAAGTCCCAAGGAGGCTGGGCCCAAAGCTGACTCCTGCCTGGCCTAACAGCTGCTCCTGTCCACCAGGGCGGCCAGCCAGAGGACTTCTACTTACAGCGAAGCATTCGTCTGTAGCAAAGAGCTTGGCCATGGAGCACAGGGCCACCGCATCTTTCCGCTCCTCCTGCAGAGCCACTGCCGCGTTGCGAATCATCAGCCGCGAGGCCACCAGCCTTGTCGCCATGTCGGCCAGTTTGAATTGCAGGTACTACAGCAACAGGGCAGAAGGGAACCAGACCTGACGGAGGGGCTTGAACCAGCCCGTTCTAAAGGGCTGCCCTTTCTAAGTGATCAGACGTCCAGGTTCCCCGTGAGGTCTGCAGAGGAAGCAAGTTCACTTCACCTGCCCTGCCCTCTAACCGACAAGAGCACTGAGAGGAACGGAGCAACAGGTCCTGGCTAAAGTCTGGCAGGAGTGCACAGGGGCATCACAGCCTCCCTCTCCTAAACGTGGCCCTAGAGTAGGTCTCTAGCCACGAAGGGCACAAAGCGAATGCAGATACCCGCGGCCTTACCTGGTTACTGGCCAGAGGCTCTCCAAACTGCTTCCGGACATTGAGGTGGTCTCGGGCGAGGACAACTGACGCATGCGCTGCCCCCAGGGAGCAGGAGGCTGGGGGTGGGGGAGCGCCAGTGTTCCAGCTGAGCCAGGCACTGCCACTGCCCACCAGCCACCTCCCCACCCGCCCCTCCCTGTCCTCACCAACGTTGATCCGCCCTCCGTTTAGCCCTTTCATGGCAATGAGGAAGCCCTGGCCCTCGCTCCCAATTCTGTTGGCCACGGGGACAGCACAGTCTTCGAAGATCACGGCTCGGGTTGGCTGGGAGTTCCACCCCACCTGGCAAAAAGCAGGAACTGTGTGGCAGTCCGACAATCACCAGTGGGACTGAAGCCTGTGAAGCCTGGATTCGAGGACCCTGGGCCTTAGGCCCATAAGAACTTAAAAGAGGAAAAAGAAAAAGTTCAGGGTTGAAAGGCTTGTCAACATTCATAAAGACGCTGGTTTCAGCTAAACATCTTTGTTTTTTGCTTTTGGAGAGGATTTTTTGCTATAGGGCACATGCGTTCACCAGAAAGACAGAGAGAGACAGAGACAGAGAGACAGAAAGGAGAAATCACTCCCCAGGGGGGATGGCCACACTGCAATCCCTTCTCCTCCATTCTCCTCTCTGGATCTTGGGCATGCATGCACATGCACCCGGCGTGAGTTTTAAGCCACCGCGTCCGGGACGTGAACCGCGGTCGACTCCTTGGGAGTCCAGTGACATAGCCATTACGCGAACTGCTGGTCCCAAGAGAATCTACTTTCTAATGTCTACTCTACCAGACTAAGCCATCCACAAACACTTCTTGCAGCTTCTTTAGATTGGAGCAGGGTCTGCCCTAATCTTGGGTACCTCTACGAGTACAATAGAAGGGTTATTTGGAGAAGTTTGATTTACTCCTAAAGCCCTTAACAACAGCCACACGTCTCTTTCTAAAACCTTAGTGTTCCTGGGCCAGCCCCGTGGCCTAGTGATAAGGAAGCCTGATACCACATGGCCAACCATGGTTTAAATCCCAGCCCCAGAGGCTTGAGAATCATGCCCAAGGCCCTGAGAGGATCAAGAAATGGAGAAGAGACTGGTGAGACCGTGCCTCACCTGGGAGTGCCTTCTTTCCTTTCTCTCTCTGGGGAGTGGACATGTCCTCTGGCCAGAACTAAAGCTTGGCATTCCCAAAAGGTGTTAAAGGAGATGGGAGACAACTGTGCTGGTAACACACTTGGTCCTGCATTTAGCTGCAGAGACACCCGGTGATGCGTTGGCACCAGGCCTTCTCGTGAGAGAAGGTGGCTTTAAATCAGTAGGCACCTAGTAAACGCCTGTGGTGCTATAAAAGAACAGGGCGTGAAACTCCTGGACAGCTTCGAAGGGTTGAGAAGGCGCATGCTGGCAAACAGGAAACTCGAGGAGTGTGAGAGAGAAGTACATTAAGGGGTCATTTCATGCCCTGACTTCTCCCCAAAAGTCCTAACTATGACAGTGCAAACTGGAGGTTAAAGACTATTCTGGCCATCTGGTTTAAAAAAACTAAATTGAGGCCAACAGGGGGCTAGCAGATGGCGTGATGGGTACGTCGCCGGACTTCCACGTAGTCGACCATGGTTTGAGTCCCAGACCTGGCGGCTTAAACTCACACCGGGTGTGTGTGCATGCATGCTCAAAGTCGCAAGAGGAGGAGAAGGGACTGCAGCATGGCCATCCCCCCTGGGGAGTGAGTTCTTGCTTTCTGTCTCTCAGTCTCTCTCTGTGTCTCCAGTAAGCACATGAGTCCTATAGCAAAAATCTCTCTCAAAAAAATAAATACATAAATAAAATTGAGGCCAACAGATTGTGTGTAGGCTAAGGTGGCTGGATCCCACATGGCCGACACTGAGCACTCCTAGCTCAGTGACACAGGACTGTCAGTTCGAGTCCTGGAAACAGCAGCTTAAAAAACATGCGAGGTATGTGTGTGTGTATGTGTGTGTGCCCAAAATCCTGCAAGGAGACTGGAGGAGAAGGGATTGCTTTATGGTCATCCCATAGGAGGTGCTTTCTGATTTTTTCTCTCTCCAGCCAGGGTATACACCCTATGGCAAATTAAAAAACAAAACAAAAAAAACAACCTGCCGAGATCTCACCTTTATCAGTAATTCCAGTTACATAATCACAGGGCTACTGTCATGGCCTAGGTGCGGGTTTCTTAATCCCAGGAATGTCTTACCTCTCAAAGCTCTTGAGGGCACATGGTCTCGCCTAGATGACTAACATTTCCACGGTCACTTTCAGTGAGCCTTTTATTATTCGTATTTAAAGAGGGAAGGCAGTCTAGAGGCTTTCCACTCCTGAGACTTTCTGTCAATGCAGCATCTTCTGAAAGTATCTCTGCTTAGGGTAACAGACCCATAAAAAATATGGGCCAAACGTTGAGGCAGGAGGGGTAACAGTACTTAAGCTGACAGGTGGCTGGTGGGAGTTCGGGCAAGCTTTGCCACAGAGGCCTACTGTTTCCTCAACAACGCCCTGTTCTATTTTATTAATGTTCCTGTTGAAAATGCTATGAAGCAGAACCAGTAGATGGCGTAATGGCTATGTTGCTGGACTCCCAGTCCACTGAGTGGACCGCAGTCTGAGTCCAGAACCCGGTGGCTTAAACTCACGCAGGGCATGTGTGCGTGTGTGCCCAAGATCCCGAGAAGAGAATGGAGAAGGGATTGCGGTGTGGCCATCTCCCCTGGAGGGGGGTGGGGGGGGATTTCTCGATTTCTGTCTCTTCTGTCTCTCTGGTGAGTGCACATGCCCTATAACAAAAACCTCTCCAAAAAGAAAAAAAAAAAAGAAACTGCTATACAGTATGCATTTCCAGGGCAAGTCTGCAAGCCCGTGAGCCTGCTTCCTGAATGAGCACGATTTGTTGGGCAGCTGGCAGAATCTCATAACTTGAATTGCTTCCTGTCTTCCAGCCACTGACCTTTTTCTCCTTCTTGCCAAAGCTGAGGCCAGGGGTTCCCTTCTCAACAACTATGCAGGAGATGCCTTTGGGGCCTGGCCCTCCTGTTCGGCACATGACCACGTAGATGTCTGATTCTCCGCCACCGCTGATGAAGGCCTGTGGGGTGGCAGAAATACACAGGGATCAGGGAACGCGTGATTCCTCAGGACCTCCTTACACCTGAGAAAACCACTGGCGCCCTCCCAGAGACAGGATGCTAAAAGATACAGCACGGAGAGACTGAGGAGGGGGAAAGGCAGGGGTCAGGATTTGGCTGATGAGTATAAAAAGGACAAAAATCAATGAAGTCATCTGGAATCACGAGACGAGGAAGAAACACTGAGGGTGAATAAAGGGAGGTTCTCTTCCCAACATGCAAAAGTCCTACGGGAATCTGAACGCGTAGATGCAAAGGAACCCCGATGTCCAGAGGAAGGCGGCCTGGGAGGACAGCAGGCTGGTACCTTGGAGCCATTGAGGACGTACTGATCTCCTTGTCGTTGAGCGGAGGTCAAGAGGGACGCAGCATCACTCCCGCTTCCTGAGGCAGGGATGTGGGAGATGAGGGTCAGTGAAGGCAAGGGAGCCCAGCCGGTTACACCACTGAGGAAATTCCCTGGGAGAGAAAGCGCTCAGAGCATGCGCTCAGAACTCTGTACGAGCTCGTAGCAATCAGACCACCGTCGGCCTCCCAGCACACCAGCTCGGGGTGGACCTCCTGCGAGGTTCTGGCCTGCAGCCTGGAGGGTTCCTGCCCTTAGACCTAGTACCTCAGGTCACGGGGCTCTTCTGCTCCAGATGAACTGCTTGGTGGATGGTGGTCCTGCGTCACGGAGCTAGGAGTGCTCAGCGAGTCCCCACAGGCCCGCCTCTCCCCCGCTTTGCAGGACGGCGGACCCACCTGGTTCGGTGAGGCAGTAGGAAGCAAACTTCTCCATGGTGCAGAGCGCTGGGCAGAACCTGTGCCTCTGTTCCTCGTTTCCGAAGCTGTCAATCATCCAGGCACACATGCTGACAGGGATGCCAAGACGGACGACACGGACGAAAGAGACAGAAATGAAAAGGGGACCAGGGGCAGGGGGAGGAGAGCAGCGGCCAGCAAGGCAGAGTGGAGAGAAAGGAAGAGTGGAAGGGAAGGTCACGGCAAGAAGATTCAACTCCAAAGGAGAGGGCTGGCTCAAAACCTTATTTCTAGAATATGTACTACCCGGGGACAACCTGACCAAGGCACCGCTCACAGGCTAAGAGAGCCCCTGAAAACCAGATGGTTGTGTGCGCTTCCTGTTATTTTCTCATCTCCGGACTGAAGGGAAGCATGACGGGATCCTAGCGGCTGTCCTGGAGAGGCCTGCTGCTCCCCACCCCATCTAGGTTGGGGAGACGCAGGCAGACCTGACTCCCTAAGCCATGCGCAAGAGAACAGCACACTCATGTGCCCTCTTATCAGCCAGGTTCCTCGAGCGCCACCAGCCTGAGAAGACCAGCCATTCCCCTGTGAATCTGGCATTTCCCAGGCCACCCACGCGACAGCGTCATTGTGCTTTCCAGCTGTGGCCACTCACTTGTGGATGCTAATGTAAGCCGTGGTGCTGGTGCAGCCCGTGGCCAAGGCTTCAAAGATGACAGAAGTATCCAGCCGGGACAGCCCAGACCCGCCCACATCAGTGCGGACGTAGACTCCCCCAAAGCCCAGCTGGGCTGCTTTCCGCATCACATCCACTGGGAACAGCTCCTGTGTACAAAAGACAGGTCATCGGTGACATCAGAGCTGGACGTCCCGTCTGAGGGTACAAAGTGGGGATTAGGATATTTGCATCATGAGAGTGCAGGGATTCTCTTAACTATTAGTCACCTCACAGTGGTCTCAGTTAACATGGACGAGCCCTAAGAGCTGGTTTTCTGGCCTCAAAAATTTCTTACTATTACCTTTCTTATAGAACCGCCTTAAGTATGTCCAAATCTTTTTTAAAATTTTTTTAGCTTTTTTTTTTCCCAATAGGGAGGGTGTGCTTTCCAGAGACAGTGAGAGAGAAAGTGAGAAATCACTGCCCCCAGGGGGGATGGCCATTCTGTGCTCCCTTCTCCAGATTCCTCTTGGGATTATGGGCATACATACACACGTGCTCGGTATGATTTTCAGGCTGCAGGGTCTGGGACTCAGGACTGGGGTAGGCCATGTGGGACTCCAGTGCCTTAACCACCAGGCCACCTGCTGGCCCCTCTTTGTTGAATTTTAAAAGGAACAGTAGCTACACGGTGATCGGGATGCCTTCCATGAAAGGGATCACCCACCGCCTTGGTCTCACTGGCAGGAAAGATGCAAGTGAAGAACAGAGTGAGCTGGACTCTTAGGGGGAAGGCAGCTGTCACTGCAAGGGGCCTTGGCAGGAACATCCAGCACAAGGCCAGCACCTACCTTCTGGTCCCACTCTGCCATATGTGGAGCCATCTCCCGGGCAGCGAAGTCAAAGGCTACTTTCTGAAACTCCTTCTGTTCTTCATTTAGTCCCACGGAAGCTGCGGGCAGGATTGCATGAGTTCAGTTCTCAGACAAGGGTCAGGGAAGAGTAGCAACAAGAGGGACCATGGAGCTGAGGCAGGGGCCTCCTGTGGCTTTCTCCACACGCGGCCCAACCTGTAGTGGCAAGGGAAGGGCATCACCCAGCAACCCTCGGTTTCCCAGATGGAGAGACCGAGCTTCCGAGCTCTGGCTCTGCAGTTATTCCCCATCAGACTTTCAGCAAGCCCGTACCGCTCATAACCACAGTTATCTCATTGTGAAAGAGTAGGTTGTGGGCTGGCAGGTGGCATGGTGGTTAAAGGCACTGGACTCTCACATGGCCAATGGTGGTTTGAGTCCCGGACCTGTTGGCTTGCTTTCTCACTTCCTCTCTCTCTCTCGTTCTCTTACTGTCGCTCTCTGGTCAAATTAAAATAAATAAAGTTAAATAAAATAATTTTTTAAAAAAAGAGTAGGTTGCACTAGACACTGAACAAATGTCCTCTTCTGTAAAATGAAGAAATTATGTATAATGAATACATAGAATATAGTAAAAGTCGTAATTCTTTAAAAAAATTTTTTTTGAGAGGTTTTTGCTATAGGGCGTGTGTGTTTGCCAGAAAGATAGAGCGAGACAGAGAGACAGAAAGCAAGAAGTCACCCCTCGGGGGGATGGCCACGCCACAATGCCCCCCTCCTCTATTCTCCTCTCAGGATCCTGGGCACACACACATGCCCGGAGTGAGTTTAAGCCACTAGGTTCGGGATTCGAACTGTGGTCGACTACATGGGAGTTCAGCAACATAGCCATTACAGCTGCTCCCTAAAAAATTATTTTTAACATTAAAATATGTTCATGTGATGAAAGGAGATATATTTATTCATCATCCATTAGTTTAATATATGAATATCTAATTAGAAAACTTGTACTTGACTAATTAAAAGATAATCATTTCTTTGAAAAGGGTGAAAACATCAGCCAGCCTGTGGTGTGGTGGTACAGGCAGCTGGATCCCGCATGGCTGATTACATAGTTCAAATCCTGGACCTGGCAGCTTGGGAAATACGCCTGGCGTGCATGCAGTTCAAATCCTGGGCCTGGCAGCTTGAGAAACACTCCAGGTGTGCATGCATACCCCAAATCCCAAAAAAGAGAAATGGAGAAGGGGTTATGGAGAGTGACTGTTCCTCAGGGTATGTGTGCGGGGTGTTTTCTCACTTTCCCTCTTGGGAGTGTACACACGTGTTAGTAGAAAAATAAGGGAGAGAGTGCAAGAGAACCTCAGGGCTGCAGTTACACCTCATATTTAATTTATTTGTTGCCAAGATAATTCCTTATCTGATGTGGTATTGTCAACTTGCGAAAGAGAACTTGAGGCCTGCCCAGCGAGCACAGATCCCACTGCCAGGAACCTCTGTTCATTCAAAAAGCCTCTGAAAGGGCTTCAATTTATAGGGGAACGGAGAAGGAGGAGGATGACTTACAGATGCTTATTTCCCCTAAGAAATTACTTTGGTTCCTAAGAGCAGTGAAAGTGTCTGATCAGCTTTCTAGGAGTCCACAGTCGGGAACACTGTGCAGATGGAGGGCTGGGCTTCCCTGTACGACGTGGTTGGTGGGAACCGGGCCAGTTCTGTTTCAGTGCCAGCTGCTCAGTGAGTTCTGTATCAGGGTATGTCCTTGGGCAATGATATTAGGCAGGTGAGGGAGGGTCAAGGCTAAGGCTCTGCCTTAATTCTCTCTAGGGCAGTTTTGGCAGACCTCTCTTCATTATTTAATTTCCTTTTTTTTTTTAATTTTTATTTTTTAGGTTTTTGCCATGTGCTTGCCAGAGAGAGTCAGAAAGTGAGACATCACCTCGAGTGGGATGGCCATGCTGTAATTCTCCTCCTCCATGCTCCTCTCGGGATTTGGGGCATGCATGCACACATGCCCAGTACGTCTTTCAAGCCGTGGGGTTCACGGAGTCGGCCATGTGGGATCAAGCACCTTTACCAACACGCCATCTGCGGGCCCAGACCTCCTCGTTCTTTTTTTCTTTTTAATATTTATTTATTTATTTTTATTTGTTATTATTATTTCATTTGATGAGAGAGAGTGAAAGAAAGTGAGAGAGCAAGCCACCAGGTCCAAGACTTAAAGTGTGGGTGGCCATGTGGGAGTCCAGCACCTTAACCACTATGCCACCTGCTAGCCTCCCCCCGCCACCTCCTCATTCTTAAGACTGCTTTAAACTATTTTCTTACTCAGTATCAACCAAGATGACCTTGATTACCAAATTCTTTATGCTAGAACAGGGTAGCACCTCTTGAAGGAGATTGAGGACGCCGAGAAGGCATATTCTGTATTTGAGTGTACTTTATAGACCCAGTGTCACTCCGAGGGATTCATTCTGTTGTAAAGACAACGGTTATTTATTTAAAGTAAATGTCCTTTCGTCCCCCAGGGCACCAGCACTCCCTGCTACACTGAAATTCTGTACCTGGTCCCTGAAGACATTCAGTGTGTACTCTGGTACTGACTGACAGTAATAGTTACTTTTCCTGCAGAAGTTTCAACAGTAAGTGCTTCACAGCTTTAAGTTTCTAGTTAAAAAAAATCCAGGTATGTGAGAAAGTTTCCTTGTATTACCTGGAGCTTTGTTCATCTATCACCACGATATCCAAACTTCTCCAGTCTCGCTATTTTTGTGACCTATTGTTAGGATTTAATAACTAACCAAACCAAAAGAACAAGTTTCTTCACCGCTCCAAGCATCTGGAGGTGACAGGATGGAGCGGGGAGCCGGGCTGCGGAAGTCAGCCCGGAGAGGGGAGCCACGCTGGGGGTGACAGGGGGAGGGAGGCAGGCAGGCCGGGGGTGACGCGACCCAGTGGGGAGCAGGACCATGGGTGACCGGATGGAGTTCTGGGGGGCCAGGTCGGAGTGACAGGGCGGAGGAGAAAGCCGGGCCGGGATGCCGGCGCCGCCCTCGGCGGACGTGGCGACTGCAGGTGCCCGCAGAGTCTCGGTCACCTGTCCCCCCCC